CGCCGAGGGCCGCGGGGGACGGCGCGGGAGCCGAGGGGGCTTCAGGAGCGGACGGCGGGCTCCAGCAGTGTGTGGGAGACGGGGCGGGGGGGCCCTCCGCTGACTGTAGCCCAGCTCTGTGTTTAAAAAAAAAACAAAACAGAAGAAAAGAACGCACTTGAGAAATGTCAGCTAAGCACAAAAAGTGAGCGGGGCGAGGTAGCGACGCGTGGGTCGGCCTCTTTTCTCAAGTAACAAGCGATAGGACGAGAGGAAACGGCGTCCAGTTGCGCCAGGGGAGGTTTAGGTTGGACATCAGGAAAAATTTCGCCGAAAGGGCTGTCAAGCACTGGAACAGGCTGCGCAGGGAAGCGGTGGAGTCACCATCCCCGGAGGGATTTAAAAGACGTGTAGATGTGGCGCTTAGGGACGCGGTTTGGTGGTGGACCCGGCAGGGCCAGGTTAACGGTTGGACTCGGTGATCCTAAAGGTCTTTTCCAACCTAAACGATCCTATATAATTAACGTACTTGCTATGTTATGCCAGTTACCACTTTTGTATCCTTCAGGGGTTGACTATCTCATACATACGAGAACAGTGAGTGAAGGTCCTTTTCCTTCAATGTGTGGTATGCTTAGCTTTAACAGAATAATATTTACGGAAAAAAACATGCAGCCTTTCTCTAAAGTTCACTTCTATACAGATTTGTGTCTTCCCTTAATTACTCTTTTCCTTCATGCTTACAATAACATTTTCTCTGGGCAAGATACAGGACGTTCTAGCCACACAGAAGGGATATGTAGACTAGAATTACGACTGCCTGACCAGCCACTTGGAAACAGAATGAATTTTTATCCTTTGACCAGATTCACAACAGGTAAAGGAACTTAATTTTACTCGAAACGTTTTGTGTTTGCCAAACTGGCTGCTAAGTTTCAAAGCTAGTAGAGTGGGGAGTAAATAGCAAGTGAACAGGCATTTCTCAGGTCAATTTTGTTTCACTGGGAAGCAAGGATGTAAAAACCACTGTGATTTTTAAAGGATTTTTTCCTACAAAATATGAAATGCAGGAGTACTTAATGAATTTATAAATTGTTCATTGCTGTAATACTTGGCTGCATGTAAATCCGGTGGACTTTTACCTTACATACTGGTTTGGCAGCTTCTGTCAACATTTGGATCTGCGCGGCTCTTTGTAATTTTCTGTGATAGCAGTAGCAATGTCTTGGGAGATGTAGTGACTGAGGAAAAAGGAAGGGAACTCACGAAAACATTGTGGGATTTTAAAAGCACATATTATGGTTTCTAGCTTATGACACCAGTCTCCCCTATCAGGAGAGGATGAGCAGAAAAGTTCATCTCAATAACGGGAGATAATATCTGGATTTTTTCCCCAGTTTCATTGCAAGGTAATGGGCAGCATTTCCAGAAGGTATGGATCTCTCTAACAGCTATGTCCGTTATTATTTTGAGGCCAGCTGGGGAGCTAATGTCCTTTACACAAAATTAGTGGAGATAGCCTTTGCATATACCTTTTTTTTTCCTGGAATGTTAAAGTATTCCACAACTTGGTCAATTTTCTGAACTCGTCCTTGGGCTATTTTAAAATGGTCCTATCTAACACAGGGTGTTTGTGTTCACACAGTATGTCTCTTTTCTGCCCGGCGTACCAGAGGATTCCTGAGTGGACTGGATGCCTGCTAAGGAAAGGGCTTCACAAAGATGGATCCCACCAGTTTTGTGGCAGTGGAGAACATCACAGTTTCACAGCTGGATTGTACATGCCTACTATTGAGCAAATCCTTCTAGAAACTTGCACATTCCAGTTAGGTAGATAATATCTTCGTACTACCTCTTGCTTCATTTTATGTTTCCAGTCTTCAGCTTTGCCTCATTATTCTTCTTGCCATGTATACTGTGTATTTCTCTGCACTATCCTACTGATGCTCTTACGGCACAAAGGAAACAAGCTGCCATTCTGACCCAATTACCAAGATTCCTAGAGTAGTAGTTAGGAATTAGTATTGTACGTATAGATATTCAGGGTTTTTTTTCCTCCTCTTTTCATGCTTGTTATCTCCTCCATCTTATTTCTTTTTTACCTTCTCCCATCGTTTTTATACTTGCTTTTCAAGCATAAGATTTGTATTCCCTTTTCTCACTTCTAAACTTACTTTCTAATCACCTTTAGTTTATGATTTCACAGTCTGTTACTGTACTGTGTTCTTAAAATATGCACGCACATATACGCACACATTTCTTCACAGTAAACCAAAGGTTTTCTGACTTCTGGCTTAAAGAAATTATCCAAACATAATGGAGATACTTTTATATGAAAAAGATTAAAAGTATAAGATAAGCTGTCCCATTTAGTATTCACTTCTCTGCTATTTTCTGGAGGAAAAAATCCATCAAAGTTTTTCATTATATAATGTATATGTTCTTTAGAAACATATACAAGTAAAACTTGTATCTTTCTCAAAATTCCATTTAGCTAATGCATTAACTCTTGTAAGGCTAATTGGTCAATTAGCCTGCTGAGAGGAGACAGTGCATATCTGTAATTCTACCAGAGTACGTATATGTGTTAGGAATTTCTAGAGCTGAAGGATGTATTATCCTAAACAGCAAAGCCAAACTGTTGGCCAAGAGCAGAGTAGCCAGAATTAATCTATTTTCTTGGAGTCACTTGATCTTAAATATGAGTAGAAGAAGATGGCAGTTGCCTGCAAAAAAATTGATGTTGATCCACCGAACTTAAATATTTGTAGAGATGCCTTACATATCTTGGTAAACAAATGTAACGGAGATCCTAATGGACGTAATCTTTATCCTACTCCCATAAAAGAATTGGTCTTTGTAAAAACTTATTTTGATAGTTTGTCAACTAATTAGAGATCCCACCCTCTTTCAAATACTAGCTCCATTCTTCCAAAGTTGCTTGCATTTGATTGTGGCTGCAAATGAGAGGTGAGGTTGAAACCTTTCTGAGAATTCCTAGGAAAAATATTCTGTGAACCTCTGTTTTGTTTACGGTAGGTTTAAAGGGAGTGTCTTCTTCTAGAACATCTAGCTTTACTTGCCACTGAACTGGAGACAGCAGGAAAATGTGTAATTTATTGTATGCTTTCAGAACATAACTCTCTGGCTCTCTTTCAAAACACAAAAATCCACGAGTCTTCTGTAATTCAGAGATGATCTGTCAGCATAAAGTGTCCTTCAACCCAGAAATCACAAAATAAATGGAGAGTAAAAAATGATGCATCGGTAACTGCAAGGGATAGTAATCGTAAACAAAACGGACCATGTTAACAGAAGTGCTAAAAATACATTTTATTTGTACAAGGAAGGGAGTTATGTTCCATAATTAGTTTCTCTTTAGTAAATTGTAATATATTCTATGGCAGGGTTTAAACGCAGTATGGAAAACAGGAGAGGATGTCTTGAAATGAGAATTTCCAATGCAGTGAGAGTACTGCCGTGCTCATTAAACATAACCTTAGCTAAGTCACCCAGGTCTCTCTGCACTCTTAAACTTTCTAGTTCAAGTCCTAGAAATGGTCGAACTATAGTAGCATAGAGTATCGTATTGGTTAATTTATTCTGCAGTATACGTAAGTGTCTCCTTGCTTTGGTATTCCCATCTGTTAACTGGGGATCATTATTATTTCTTACATCAGAGTTACAGTATTTTAAGATCTCTTGTGCTCTTCAGATGAAAAGTGTTATGAAGGCAGAGTATAATCTTTTAGGGGCCAAAGCTGGATAAAAGAGCAACCATAGGCAGGACACTGAAAATTGCTAAGGTAAATCAAATCATCGGGTGAGGAGACAGAGGTCCTGAGCGGGGGTTAAAACTGGCAAAGGACAGACCGAATTCGGATGAATGACTGAAATCGGGAAGATTTGGGTGAAGAATCAGCAAATGAGAAGGGAAGTTAGTTTCTGAACTGGTTTGGAGGGGGTTTTTTTGATTCAGCTTCTGGTTATACCAACATGGAACACCTCTGCTGGAACACCTCTGCTCTGAGGACAGGCTGAGAGTTGGTGGTGTTCAGCCTGGAGGTGAGAAGGCTCCAGGGAGACCTTCTCGTGGCCTTTCAATATATAAAGGGGGCTTATAAGAAAGATGGAGAGAGACTTTTTAGTAGGGCCTGTTGCAATAGGACAAGGGGTAATGGTTTTAAACTAAAAGAGGGTAGATTCAGAGTAGATATAAGGAGGAAATTTTTTACAGTGAAGGTGGTGAGGCACTGGAACAGGTTGCCCAGAGAGGTGGTGGCTGCCCCATCCCTGGCAGTGTTCAAGGCCAGGTTGGATGGGGCTCTGAGCAACCTGGTCTAGTGGAAGGTGTCCCTGCCCATGGCAGGGAGGTTGGAACTAGGTGATCATTAAGGTCCCTTCCAACCCAAACCACTCTGTGAGTCTGTGAGTAATACTTCCCCAAGTCCAGGTAGATGTGCCAAGTAGAGAATACAAAAATCTACCTTGTAGCTTGGAAAAAATATGGCAGGACTGTCTGTGGAATGCACAGGTCAGATGCACAGAAGGACTTGGCAAATAAATTATTTGGATGAGTCGATGAGGAACTTTGCTACTTTGGGTGTGAACATCTGCTGGAAGGTCATGCTTGAAAGCCAAAACTAGGAACAAAAATCTGCAATCCTAATATATAACCAAAAGTTGTTTTCACTTGAGCAGATGGCTAAGAAATTACATTCCCTTCACGCTGATTCACAGTCATTACCTCTACTTCCTCCGTTACGATTTTAAGAAGTAATGTGAAGCTATCGTCTAAAATCTCCGAAGAACAAGTGCTGAAGTACTACATCTGGTATCTCAGAGTCTCTATCTGGGCTTGTAACACTGGACTGGCTCCTGGAAAGCACTCGAACTAAATAAGGAAAAGGTTAGGAATTAATCCGTAATGTATTTTCATATCTTTCATAGTAAAAGGTCTTGGTCCTGAGATCTATTGACCATCATTAACCAGAGCACTTAACAGGGTGGGTGAAAGTTTAAAACAGGGTGGGGTGGAGGGAGAGTGGAAATAATGGACAAACTTACCAAGAATAGATTATTTTAGCTTGATAGCCACTCACAAGGAAGCCATGGCGTTAAGGCTACTCTCCTGGAGAGTAAGAACCCCCACCCCACTGGCCTTGCAGGAACTTGCTCTATACCTATTTCCCAGCCATGAAGTGGCAAAAATTTCCTGTAGATATAGCTATGGTAATTTATTAGTTTATAAATTGAAGATACAGTTATACTGGAACATAGCTGTTGGCAGGTGTGACATTTCACCCAGATGTGTGGGACAGCTGGAAAGGGTTCTTGACTGCCGGTCTCGTGGAAGAGCACAGCGTTATTGAGGAAATGCCAGTCCTTCAGTCTGGTAACAAAATGCAGTCAAGTATTTTTCTGCTCACATTTTGCAAAGGCTATTCTGTTCTAAAACAGACCCTTCAAAAGCTGACCAGCCTTTTCTCTTTGAGGAAATGAACTACCTCCTAAAAGAGAAAAAAGTTCTATGAGAAGTAAGTTACGCATCGTTTTAGTAATTCAGAACCTTGTTATCTTTTTTTTGGCTTTATTTAACATGGTAGGAATACACGTTTTCAGAAAGTCATTTTAGGCAGATGGGAACGTTGGTGCCATCTCCGGGTGACTGTAGCCCAGAAACGCCGTTGTGTACGGCCCGTGGGACACGGCAGTGTCACCAGTGTCATCTTTTTCCTTTAAATTTGGCCGGTGCAGCACAGTGCCCCCCCGTGGGACCTCGGTGTTAGCGCGGGCTGTACGCGCAAAATGGCTTTGAATCGCGTATGTCAGGTCGGGTAAGAGAATTACCGGGAAGCAAAGGTCGCCAAAATCCGGATTTCGGCGCAGGTGTGTGAAACAGAAGAACGGTTCCACCGCAGTAACGAAGACCTCGGGGGGACCTCGTCGTTCTGGCCGCTGCCCGTTTGCGTGCTGGGCAGCCGGCAGCGCTCCCGCCGCGCCCGCGCCCTCTCTCTGCCGCGGCTCCCCAGGCTGGTTCCGTCCGCCTTCCCCTCACGACAGCGCCTTCTCCGCCGCGCTGCGCGCCGCCGGCTCCGCGCAGCCCGGGCACGGGTCTCGGCTCGGCGGGAGCCCCGGCCCCGCCCGC